AAGGCGGGCCTTCATTTGATACAGGAACTATTCGAGCCGTTCATGCCAGACTGGGGAGAGAGGTGTTGTAATAATGTCAAATATGTGAAAACTAATGTGTTTTTCGAACAACCTAGTATGACAGCCTGTTCTAGTACACCCCCAAAACAAAATCAAAACTTCGTAAAAGAGCATAATAGGACCCCTTTAACATTAGTATGATGTCAAGAACAAAATCATGTGGTTAAGCACGTTATGAATTAGGTGAAAATGTTTCATAAGAACTACTGTGCATATAAATACAAATAATCCATATAATTGTTAGTGAATGAGATGCAATGATTCCAAGCAGTATCCTTTCACATGTCTACTCAGGAGATTCAGAAATGAATGAAAATACTTGTGGCTGCAAGTATCAAACAACCACGTGACCTTTGATGATGGCATCCAGTATCAAACAGAGAACTAATCCTTGTGTATAGATTTACATAGGCCATCTACAGTACATGACCTAAGAGGTAAATTTAGCATGAGGTTACAGCTCATCAAAATGGTATCACGACACATGCAGATGAATCGATTGAATGAGATTAATGACTTCTTGCTTGAGTCTGGTCAAAGATCTGCAGGCCTCTTCCACCAGTCGGCCATGAAACGCTAGAGTGATTTTGTGATATTTGGAGGATGGCAGGGAATGGGAAACTCTGAGTTTTCGGTTTCAGAACAGCTAAATTGTGTTAGTTTAATCCACTCTGAGTTTAGTGCGTGCACCACGACTATGAGAAGTCATGATCAGTGGCGCTCCGAAATTACGATTCACCATTGCAACAGCACCGACAAAAAGACATCCACTTAGTTTAACGCTCTTTTCACATAGGCTAATTAAATATTCTGTAATCCAACCTGTTAGAGTTCTTAATTAGAGTGATGAAATTAACAACTGACTTGTTCTCAGTCGACAGCAAGAAGGCAGAGGCTCGCAAAATGGAGGGAGAACCTGCACCAGCAACACTGACAGATGAAGAGGAGATGGTCAATAGAATAATTTTAAAATTCAAAAGGAAAAAGAATAACTGTTGCATTTGTATTTGTAGAAAATAAATTGTGAATAATTTGTGTTTATTTGGCAGCTGTGGTGGTGGTTACGGCATACATCTCGTACTACCCCTCCATCTGGCATCCTTCCATTCCATACAGTAATCTGATTCATTTTCAGAAGGTGTGATGATGGGAATATGCGTGTCATCAATGCATCCAACCACACTGGAAATCCTGAAGGAAATTCTAATTATTGGGTTACTTCCAGAGGTCGCAGCAAGATGTTATCAAGTGAACATCATTTATCAGATTAGCCTCATTTAAACCGATTTCTACAACACTGACCTACAGTCCAGTGAAACTCCTCTTTGACGGATTTGTGCCCAGGAAAAAATGATCAGAAAGAGCGTGAGAGCGACGCACACTTTCCTTATCAGTCTGCATTCAGCGATACAGCGGCCTTACTAATGTGCTCTGCATCTCCGATGTTTTAAAGAAAACTACCATTTAAAATGCTACCGCTCAAATAAATATGCATGTGAATATGGCACAAACAAAAAAAAAACTCCCTACAAATTTATGCTGCCTCCTCGTCTACGGGATCCTGTATAAAAGGAGATGCCATTTTTGTCACTTTGACTGTGTCTGCATGATGAAAATATGCGCAATGAATGAATACCGGCACTGCAGAAAATGCTTTTCTACTTAGAATTTTTGTTTTCTTGTTTCCAGTCAAAATATCAAAATATACTTAAATCAAGATGCATTTTCTACTTAAAAAAGCATTTTTGCAGCGTGAATGAATCAATGAGGTATTTAAACATCGATTACGCTTTAAAAAGGGGGAGGAGACCGTAAGAAACTCTGGGTTTACCGAAGAAAACTTGCTCCCGACCAGGTTAGGTTCACAGAGTAAGTTACCACGGTGACTGACTCTGAGTATAAGTTACCACTCTTTCAGAAACGGGCTTGACCTACTCTGCTTTCTCGGGTTTGACAAACCTCCAAATCTGAAACAGAAAACCCAGAGTTTCCCTCATTTCAGGGTTAACATACTCAGAGTTTTCACTTAACCTCCTTTCTGAAATGGGCCCCAGGAAGACTCCTGGAAATGTTATTATTTTTAGCATGCTGCAAAGCTAATGAGTATTACTTTTATCTTTTTCTTCTTTGCTTAAAGACCCTGTGAAATGCCTTGATGAGTTCAGTTTCTTTTCTGTGAAAACATTTCTTGATGAAACAGGAAGTTGGGCAAGGATATACCAAAGACTTCAGCCCTTTTAATAGACAATATCTGCTTTTACCCCTTAGCATGGTACTGTAAGCTCTTGCTGATATTGCCATAACTGCATCATCTCAAATGACCATTAAAAATACGCCATGTACTACTAAAGACTTTCA